TGGCTTTAAAATTTTTAAACAGTTATATTTTAAATGGTTAATAAGTACCTACATAATAGTCTCAATTTGCCTCTTGGCCTGCAGAGCCTAAAATATTTATTGTCTGGTCTTTTATATCTTTTTCTAGGTCCGTTTTTCAACAGGGGTTCTCTTTGCATGTGGGCAGGTCAGAAATGCCCCTGTGGGATTAATAACCTGAATATATAAGGACCTAAACATCAAAACTATAACAAAAAACTATAACATCAGAAAAACAAGTAATTTGATTTAAAAATGGGCAAACGATCTGAATAGGCATTTCTCAAAAGAAGATATACAAACCAACAGGTATATGAAAAAATGCTCAACATCACTGATCATCAGGAAAAGGCAAATCAAAACCATAGTGAGATATCATCTCACCTAAGTTAAAATGGCTATTATCCAAAAAGCAAAAAATAACATGCTGGCGGGGATGCAGAGAAAGGGGAGCTCTCATACACCATTGGTGGCAGTGTAAGTTAATACAGACATTTTTGGAAAACAGTATGGGAGGTTCCTCACAAAACTGAAAATAGAACTACCATATATGATCCAGCAATCCCACTGCTGGGTATATAGCTAAAGGAAATAAAATCAGTTATGTCAAAGAGATTTCTACACTTCCATGTTTACTGCAGCACTATTCACAATAGCCAAGACATGGAATTGTTCCTAAGTATCCATCAACAGATGAATGGACAAAGAAAATGTAATGTGTGTGTGTGTGTGTGTGTGTGTGTGTGTGTGTGTGTGTGTATAAAAATGGATTATTATTCAGCCATTTAAAAAAAGAAATCTTGTTATTTACAGCAACGTGGATGAGCCTGGAGGACAATTTTTTGACTGAAATAAGCCAGACCAGAAAGACAAATGTGTCTTCTCACTCGTATGTGGGAGCCAACAGTGGGCCTGATGGGGGTAGAGAGTAGAACGGTGGTTACCAGAGGCCAGGAAGGGAAGGGGTGGTGAGGGGAATGAAGAGAGTTTGGTTAATGGGTACAATGTACAGTTAGATAGAAGGAGTAGTTCTAGTGCTTGACAGCCCAGCAGGAGACTATAGTTAACAATAATTTATGGCGTATTTCAAAATAGCTAGAAGAGAAGATTTAGGATGTTCTCAACACAGAGAAATGATCAGTGTCTGAGGTGATGGGTATCCTAATTACCCTGGTTTGGTCATCACATTGTATGTATGTATCAAAATATCACATGGGCCCCATAACCGCACAGTTATTACACATCGGTAAAAAAAAACCTTGAGGAACAAAATGCCTCCATGGAGGCAGCGTCCTGTGTGACCATGACAGAGGGGCGCACGCCTCTCCTCAGCCATTGCTTGGCAGTTGGAGGAAGATTGCTCTCTGTTTCAACATCCACTTTGTTTCTCGTTCTGTGTCACATGTGTTTGGCTTTTGAAAAGTACTGATTTCTTTTAAACTTGAATATTACATGCAGTGCATTTTGAGAACTAAATTGGCACTTACTCTGATGTCTTATTAGGTGATATCCAGCTCCCATGTTTTGCTACTCTCTGCCCAGGGCTCTGGAAGGCACTTTTACACCCCTTCCGTCTGCCCTTCCTCCAGACCCCTCGAGGCGAGGGGTGGGGTCTCTGCTTTATAGTGAGGTGTATCGTGTAGCTAGCACGTGGCAGCATGTTATTGAACGTTTCCTACAGTAATCTAAAGCAGGTAGTGCAAGAAAGAAATCTAGAGGCTAAATCCTCGGTATTGAAAGTTTATCCCCAATTATTAATTCTACATTGGAATATAAGCTTTTCATAGAAATCAAGGGCAAGCTGTCTGTTCTTGTTAGTGTCTCACTGGTTTTCATTGCCCCAACATTCTTTGAATTTTCCTGCCAGTATTATGGACTTTTAACAGGATACAAATAGCTTGAGGCCATGTACCATTGCGGGCATCTCGCAAAGGCAGATTGCTCAGAATTGGTCTTGATAAGGCTTCTCTCCTGTATTTTCCCGCTCATGTACTTAGTTTCCAGACTGTGAGCCCTCCGAGGGTGTGGACCATGTTCCGTCCCTGCATATCTGGTGCTTGGCTCCACACCCGGCCGTGGAGGCCCCAGTTAACATTTGCCAAGTAAGTAGATGACTTACAAGTTTGAGGCTCATCAAAGTGTAGTGGAACATTCCAGTTGGAATTCAGTTTGTTGTGTCCCATCTCCAGCTTCTCATTTACTGTGATTTTTTGTCAGATTTTTGTCATTAACTGTTCAGCATTTGTTAAGGTGTCCTGATACAATCTTTTTAGATCTGTAGTTATTTAATATATATTGTCAACTTTCAGTTCTTCCCTGGGAAAACTTGCCTCTTCCCTCCCTACTCCGTTGAGGCCATCTTCCATTTCCTTGTCTGGTTTCACCTGTCCGCTTGTTTTTTCTGTCTAGCTTTTCTTGTTTCAGATATATCTCAAGAGCTTGTAGATTGGAGATACATCCACTATGGACTCCTTCCATATCCAGCTGTCACATTTTAGCTGTAAGAGTCAGCGCAGAAAGAGACTTTATTGAAGGGATTCGGCAAACCTACAGCTTTGACTCCCACATCCCCAGTTTTATGGCATGGTGGCCAGGGTAGAGGTGTCTTCCCAGCCTGCTTTGGTCCTTTATGAGGAAGGTAACATTAAGATGTCCATTGTTTGCATTTTAAGAAAGGCAGTGTCCACTTTGTGTTTGAGAGCAGAGACTCGAGAGCCAAGCTGCTTTGGATCTAGTCCTCCTGCACTTAACTTCTCTGTGCCTCAGTTTTTCAAGCTATAAAATGGGCTCATAGGGTTACTCTATGTAAAGTGCTGGACACAGTCAATGCCTGGATTATCGTAAATGCTCTGTAAGTGACTTGCTATTATTGTTTATTGATTTTTGAGCTCTTACAGGGCTCTTCCTCTTTGCTCTCATAACTGTTCTTTGCTTATCTTCATCAAGCATACTGTTGTGATCTGAATGTGGATCTCTCTCTCCTGTGACTTTCAGCTCTTCTAGGGCAGGAATCCTGGCTTACCATCATGTCTCCAGCGCCTTGCACAGTGTTTAGTGTATTTGCGGATCTTAAAGTTGCACTGGACTACCAGCGGTCAGAGAGGTCTTTTTAGGTTTGGTAGACTTGGAGATGCTGCTCTTGCCGTGCCTTAGCAGCAAGCGAATATGCAGAGTGGCAAGTGGGCTGGAAGGGCATCAGAAAGGATGATTCTGTGGTCGCCCCTTCTGAATCGCCTCCCTGTGGGCTGCTGTTCTCTCTCCATTACCTTCGTAGCATTGCCAGTGTTCCAAGTTATAAAGTAGATGGTCCAGTATAGAATGGGAGCATGCCAAGCAGATAACACAGTGGAAGTTAGGAAAGCTAAGTAATGTGTGAGGAAAATAGCATGAAACATTAATTCTTGAGTAAAATGAAGAGATGCAAAGGCCAGAGTTTTGGTTTATCGATGTGTTTTAGTCACTCAAAACAATCTCAGTAGTTAAGTGTCCAGAAAAGTGCTGTTGGAATGATTCTTTCTTGTTCTGCCCAGGATTTGACAGGATCTGAACTGTACACCCAGGCGGCCAGTCTCCTGCATCCCGTGGTCTATACTACTGCCGTCATCCTCCTCTTATGTCTGTTAGCCGTCGTCGTCAGTTATATATACCATCACAGGTAAGATACAAACTTGACAAAGTAGATCTGTGATTTGATTTGGAGGACTTCATTTCACATTTAATTAGGGTAAAACTGAGTTTCATACCATGCCATCCTTCCAAAGCAAAGAATGGTTACGTTAGAAAACGTACAAGCCTTCTTTATTTCATGCCATTAGAGACATAAATAATTAGTATGTGAGATGGTAAATTCATCTTTCATAGCACCCATTCGGTTTGTTGGGTTTGTATCTGAAAAAGAACATGGGAAATTTGTGTTGGAGCCTGGAGACAAGCCACAGGAGCAGCAGGGTGTGAGGTAAGGTGGAGGTTCATTACCTGTTAGAGGCACCTATAGAGGTGTCTCTAGGTATCAGACTGTGTTATTATTTTATGATTTTTTACCTATTATGATATTGTTTGTTTTATAGATGGCATTTTTAAGAAAGTTTGTGGCATTTATGCATGAGATATGGTTTTCGTTAATTGGAGGAAAAGCTACAGAAACTTTTATTTTATTGTAGGAAATAATGAAGTAAAAGGATTTGGTAAGCAGAAATTCACTGTATAAAAGGTTTTGCTAGAATGTTTCCTGTTTAAGCTAGACATATGTGGCATTTCTTGACATTTAGTTAAGAAACAAAAGGAGATTTTGATATATATAAAACAAGAAAGACTTCAACATTTCATTATGAAAGGCCAGGAAGAAACACATTGGGTATTTAGACCCATGCCAGTGGGTCAGATTGAAGAAACCTCTAGGTAGCCAAGCAGGTAATCCAGTCGTCTTAAGACACTGTAAGTAACAAAAGCCCACATATTTCTTATGATGGAGAATTTGTTTAGCCTTTAGTGGGTGCAATGGTTCCATAAATGGCTTGTGGTTTTTAGTGCATAATGTTAAATGTTAAGAAATTTCTCAAGTCCTCTCTGTGTGTATGTGTATATGTGCATCTGATAGCATATGTTTGTTAAATAAAACGTTTAAATATAAAGCATTTAAATTTGGCCTTTTATGCTGTTGAAATTAACTTGTAAATGAACATCGTAATGTCCTACTTCAAATGTACTAGACTGAATATTAAGATTTTCCTTTTTTTTTAAACAGTTTGATTAGAATCAGTCTCAAGAGTTGGCACATGCTCGTGAACTTGTGCTTTCACATTTTCCTGACCTGTGTGGTCTTTGTGGGAGGAATAACCCAAACCAGAAATGCCAGCGTCTGCCAAGCAGTAAGTCAGAGTGAAAAATTGAAATGGAAAAAATATTGGTATTAGAAAATATTTTATATGTCTCATTAATTATAAAAGGGAGGAAGTTTCTTTAAAGCCTTTCTTTAATTAAAGTTAAATCTAATGTCTGTCACTTAAACAATTTATCAGTATACCATAAATTTTGAATTATTTCACAACTGAATATATAATTTAAGCAGCTTGTCTCTTTATCATTGGGAATTCAGTGTTACTTGTTATGTGTTACAATGCCTAATATTTAATTTAA